AATTCATATAATAAAGAGACTTACAAGGTAGAAAGATCAAATAGGGCTTAAGATAATTCATCTAATAAAGAGACTTACAATGTAGAAAGATCAAATAGGGCTTAAGAAAATTCATATAATAAAGAGACTTACAAGGTAGAAAGATCAAATAGGGCTTAAGATAATTCATATAAAAAAGAGACTTACAAGGTAGAAAGATCAAATAGGGCTTAAGAAAATTCCTGTAATAAAGAGACTTACAAGGTAGAAAGATCAAATAGGGCTTAAGAAAACTCATATAATAAAGAGACTTACAAGGTAGAAAGATCAAATAGGGCTTAAGAAAATTCATATAATAAAGAGACTCACAAGGTAGAAAGATCAAATAGGGCTTAAGATAATTCATATAATAAAGAGACTTACAAGGTAGCAAGATCAAACAAATCAACATCAGCAGCTTCATTTCCCCGTACTTGGATGCTTCACCAAGCTTTTATCACCTGTAGCCTGACATCAGTACATCATAAATACAGTTGGGGGTGGGCAGTACATGGCTATCACTTTCTGTGGGAGTTATGTCATTTGATAAAGTCATACAAATGACGTATATGCATGAGGGAAGAAAAGGAGTTGGGTTAACATAGATAGATCTTGTAGCTTCACTCAACGAGTAACATTGTGGGTGATAATTTGCACAAGATTTGAGCTTTTTGCTAACGGGAAAAGACATACGTATAAAAACTAGCTGGTCAGAAATTCTCGAACTTTCTCGACTCACCAGCGGTTGCGGTGTAGCCTCGCTTAGGAAATAGGCTAATCAATTGACTAATATAGGAAAACACCTAAGTAAGTGTCTCGTGTTGTTTGTATTTTTTGTACCCTGGGTGATTTGAGTATAACAAAATAACCCTAGACAATGACGGCCTTATTGTAACTTGTCGTATTTAGTGTAGCAGATCTAGAAACCTACCATTCTTCCCCATATGGGCTTAGGTCAACCAACGTAATCAGAGCGTGTTAAAGAAAGCTTTTTCTGTTCGGTTTTAAGTTTAGAACTATTTTGTATTTTTTTAATAAAACATTAGTAAGGCAATAAATTTTTTAATAATTCTACGACATTCTACGTTATTTAAATCTCGATGAATTATAAAATTTGAGAAAAAAAAGTAAGAAAAATTCCGATGTATGCCTCTGATAAATTATTCGTTGTCTTTTTTTAAGTTAATGTATATCTGCTATCAGTATTACACTATAGGTATTTAAGCAATAATGTTAAAAAGGCCATAAAATATCTTCCAATTTCTCGTCGCCGTGAAAAAATAAAAATAAAACCAGCACATTAAAAAGCATCTTATTGATCTAGCTAGATTTCTAGAGCTGCACATTAACGAACTAAAGATTTAACAAAAAGTCAATGCTGAAACTCTTTATAATGCCATATTTTCCTATCAGTTGAAATACTGAAAGCAAAGAACACTGAAATTTAAATCAAAGTGTGTTATGTATAAGAATGTCGACATAACCTACCAATTTCTGTATAAATGTGTATGAACAAAAGACTTTGTTGATAAAAAGGTCACATCTTTCTTGAAAGCAAATCTCTTGAACATAAAATCTATTTCATCAAAAGTTTTGTTAAGTGTAAAATATTGCAGGAATTCATGTTAGTAAATTGATGCGCACTTTGAGCTTTAAGATTTTGTAGACAACACGGCTGTAGCGTGCAGGGCGAGCGCTAGGTTATTTAGCGCCCTATGCAAAACTTAATAAAACGCCCCCCCCCCCCCCGCAATTTTTAAAAATATATTTATTAGAAGCCTGTTTACTAAATTCTAAATTAAATCATTTTATTGCAAAGTATATGAATCACGAGACAACAAACCACACAGAGATAGGCTCGAACTCATTTCTGAACACTGTTCCTTCTCATTTGGCAAGTCTGTCAAAGACTATGAATCGACGAAACTTGATATGTGTAATGGTTTCACGAGATTTTTTTTTTTTTGCATTTGTATTATTCATCTGGAATTAATTCATATTTATAGCTAAGTCATTCGTCGGCAAAACACATTATTGCAATCTTGTCCGTATGTTTGTGTGTATATATGTGTGTGTGTGACTGTGTGTCTGTAAACACGCTAACTTCAGTACCGTTACAGCTAGTTTGATGAAATTTCATATACATTTTATCAAAATCGTAGATCCTTATCAACTTTTGATATATATATATATATATATATATATATATATATATATATATATATATATATATATATATATATATATGTACGAGATACTTATATACGGATGTCAGAGAAAATTATTCTTGGTTATGACTTGTTTAATTATTAAATACAATAACCTAAAATGTTTTCTCTACTCATGTAATAAAATATAGTCTCTAGCATGTAATAAAATATACTCTCTATTCCTGTAATAAAATATACTCTCTACTCCTGTTATAAAATATACTCTCTAAGCATGTAATAAAATATACTCTCTACTCATGTAATAAAATATACTCTCTAATCCTGTAATAAAATATCCTTTCTACTCCTGTAATAAAATGTACTCTCTACTCCTCTGTGTCAAAGTCTTTACGCTACTCCTGATACCCTCCTAACTCCATTTTCCTTTTATAAATCTTCACTAGCACCTAATCCGTCTATCTTTTAGCTCCCTGCTAAGCCTACCTTCCCAATAGTTCGACCTGGTCCTCAAACTCTCAATAACTTTACTGGCGCTCCATTGCCAGGAGCCCAACTTTTTCTATTTTACACCCCCACCGCCTGTATTGCTTTATTAACTTTTATAGACAAATTGTAGCGCTATCTAAAGACTTAATCGCTTAACACTACAGTATTGTACTTATTTAAAATTTGAATATAGATCTATATTAAATTTTTCAACTTTTTTTTTTCGCTTTTTGATTGAAATTTTTTTAGTGTATTGTTGATTATCAGTTTTAATTAATGCTACTTTATTAAACATAATTAAAAATTATTGTCTTGTTATTTTAAATGGATGGAACACTTAGGTTCTGTGGCCATCATTTCTTTTGAATAGATTTTTTAAGGTCAATGGAATATTTCTTTATTTTACACTAGCGTGACAACCGGTTTATCTTTATTGCTTAAAGAAAGGCCGAACACGTTAATATAAGAAATCTCCATATCCATCAGACAGTTTCAATACACTCGTTCGACACCGCCCAGTTTACTAGTCTAGATCTAACGACAACAATATATATATATATATATATATATATATACATATATATATATATATATATATATATATATATATATATATATATATATATATATATATATATATATATATATATATATATACTCACATGCATAAATAAATAGAATACATGTTACACGTTTGTATGACATTTTGATTACATTCTTGAACTGAATGTTTAGCTCGAGTTGCACTATGATCATTTTAAATTTTAAATTCTCTTGATTGTATTTTTAACACTGTTATGTCTTTATCTGTCTGTTACGTAATTAATGTAAGGTCCACTCGTACACGGGATATTTTTCCTGTTAGGTCCACTTGTAAGTGACTGTATCTGTTCTTTCCACGTGTATGTGACTGTACCTGTTGTGTCTACGTATATGTGACTAACCAAAATTCAGTAGATCCAATTATTTGGACTGATATAAAATTAATCTAAATCATTATATTGCGTAAGTGGAGAGATGAACAAATTACTTTAATCATGGTTAGACTAAAAAGAGATGGCAAACATATTTAATCAAATGGTGATAGAGTCTGGACAGAATCAACCACAAAACTCCTTTAGTCGTCGTGTTGAGCATTGTGAGAAAATCACTATGTTTAGCAAACTAGATGTGTAATTTATTTTGCAGGTTGCTATGAATTGTAGGGGTCGGCGTGGTTGAGTCGGTAAAGCTCATTGTTGCAAAACAGAAAAGTCTCGGGCAGATGAGGCTCGTTAGCTGGGGATCGCCACTCTTCTAGGAGAGACAACTTTAAAATCAAACAACTGCTGCCTTGTAGTTTGTTCTTGGTTTGAAAAAAGGCTATGGAAGCAAATCTAAAAAGAAAAGCAGGCTGAAATCGGAGTCAATGGCCTCAATGGCGCATAACCAGTCGACACAAGTATAGAGGAAGTATTGTAATCGTGCAAAAAATAAAATTTGAGATTTTTACATGTATCGACGTTTCACACCTACCTGAATCGAAAAACAAACTGAGCAGTGACAGTAGTGTGTATACTATGAGTCTTATAGGCTAAATTATTACTGTTTCTATTGCTTCATATCTCTTCATGCTTAACCCCGTTGTAGTTGTGACATGGAGCATTTTAATATTCAAGATAAGCTCGTCCATACTGAGAAGACAGGCTTTGAAAACTGTGGTTAAGCACACATCTATTTTAATGGGTGCCGAAAAAAAGTAATTTAAAATAAAATGCCCAAACTGTGCTGATATTGAACATAAATGAGACACTGCTAATAGAACACGGAATTAACTTTTTAAAAACTAGTTTCAAACTAGATTTCTTGTTACGATATGTTCACTCGGGCTGTGACTGATATTTGGCTTGTGTTTGACCCCTATCTGTTAAAGACAGGTCTATAGAAACATATTCTAACTTCACTTATATTTAAATATAAAAAAATGTATTGCATGCAGGATTTATTAGTAGTAAACTTCTAAACATTAAAATATATTTTATATTACTCTATAAATTAGCCAAGTTTTATTTACTTATATCATACTTTATTTGCTTAGGTGGAGCTACCATACCCGAATCAAAATGCGAGGTAAATTCATCTGCCTTTTTTCAATTTAACACAATCGTTCTATTTGAAAACGCTTCAATAATTACCGACTGACGCCAACGCTTTTTGTTTTATAACAATTACATAAGCATATTTATAAAATGTTAGATTTGATGATAACATAGCAATGTAGAGATAACAGTTGAAGAGATAGTGTTCTAGATGTTTCTATTGTTTCAGCTCGGGGGTACATCGTCCATGCTTCAGCAAGGCCCACACTTCAACAAAGATCATTATATATTCGACCTCCATGACATCCTCAATCTACAGGTAGATGTGTCAGCTTATCCTGACGAGGTGTGCGATGGCAGCGTGCAAATAATAAACGTCAACCTGATGAGACGGCCTGACCTGACAGTGACCCCCAGTGAGTGTTCGTGTTATAGCATACAGTAGTCAAACTTTGAGAGATGGCGAGTGAGTGTTCGTGTTATAGCATACAGTAGCCAAACTTTGAGAGACGATGAGTGAGTGTTCGTGTTATAGCATACAGTAGCCAAACTTTGAGAGATGGCGAGTGAGTGTTCGTGTTATAGCATACAGTAGTCAAACTTTGAGAGGCGGTGAGTGAGTGTTCGTGTTATAGCATACAGTAGCCAAACTTTGAGAGACGGCGAGTGAGTGTTCGTGTTATAGCATACAGTGGCCAAACTTTGAGAGGCGGTGAGTGAGTGTTCGTGTTATAGCATACAGTAGTCAAACTTTGAGAGGCGGTGAGGGCGGGAGTAAAGTCGGTGGAAGGGGGGGGTGGTAATCGAGTGTCAAGTTTTTCTGAAGTCCACATGTGAAGGAAAATGGTAGAAATAAACCCACTAAAGTCGAAATAAACACACTAAAGCTAAACTAAACACACTAACATTAGGAAATGATGGATACGCTTCACCATATATTCAACTTCGTTTTAAAAATAGAAGCTCAATTTTGCAGCAGTTTTTAACTGTCTTGTAGTGGTTCGGAGTTAAAACGTTTTACTATAAACATAATATAACTTCCAAGTAAATTAGCATACCCGTAACTCTTGCTCAGGAATGTGGCGTGATATCACCCACTGAGGTGTGGTGTTTTTATGGGCCGATCCTGAGAGATAACACATAAACGATCATGGCTTTATTGCATCGAAGTGTCTATTCCCAGCCTTATTGGGGGAATTCACAGTTGTGACTGTTTTTGATAGATTTAATTATAGATGAGGTATAAGCAGAGGCGTAGCGAGGGGGGGGGGGGGCGGGGGAAGGGGGGGGGGCGGACCGCACAGGGTGACACCATTTAGGGGGGGTGACACCAAGGCAAAAAATAGTAAACATATATAGAGAAAAATTTTACGGGGATTGGAAATCAAAAGTTTAAGTGGGGGGGGGGTGCAAATCAAAAGTTTGAGGGCGGGGGGGGGGGGGGGGGGGTGCAAATCGAAAGTTTGAGGGCGGGAGGGGGGGTGCAAATCGAAAGTTTGAGAGGGGGGGGAGGGTGCAAATCGAGAATTGAAAGTGTGTCCGCGGGAGTGTCGCTACGCCTCTGGGGGTGACACCATTAAGCACCTCGCTACGCCACTGGGTATAAGTGCAGGTTCGAATAAAAAAGCGTTAAAAACAAAAACACAATAGTAAATTAAATCACAAGGAAGAAGAAAAGGGGCAGGGGGGGGGGGGGGATTTAAAGGTTTTAATAAAAAGTAATCACTAGTTTTCCATTAACAGTAATTTTAAATTCTGAGTCCCTGCTTGTTTTTTTTTTCATTCGTATCTTACGTCAGTGTAAATTTAAATTTTCTTGTTGTAGACCAATTTCTAAATGTGAAACTCGTTATACAATTTTAATTTTAATGATTTTATTATTCTTCAAATCTAATGTTTAGTATCAGCCTTTTACACTACATCTAAAAATAACAAACACGTTTTGTGCCTGAAAATATTCGCAGTGACACCTTCGTCAGGAATAGAGTTTGTTCACTCGGCTGAATCTGGATTCCACTTTTACGGACATTTTGGCCAAAGTCACGATTCAAATATCGTATTTAATGTGTACAAGTTCATCAAGTTCATCATAACTGTAAGTAGGATGACTTTTTAGATTAAGATATAAATCTACCTATGTCTCGTGAAAACATGTATCAGACCAAAAATTATCTCGCGGACACAACTGCGACTGACACCCATGACAAACATTGATGCCATTTATTACGAATGACACCCATGACAAACATTGATGCCATTTATTACGAATGACACCCATGACAAACATTGATGCCATTTATTACGAATGACACCCATGACAAACATTGATGCCATTTATTACGAATGACACCCATGACAAACATTGATGCCATTTATTACGACTGACACCCATGACAAACATTGATGCCATTTATTACGAATGACACCCATGACAAACATTGATGCCATTTATTACGAATGACACCCATGACAAACATTGATGCCATTTATTACGAATGACACCCATGACAAACATTGATGCCATTTATTACGAATGACACCCATGACAAACATTGATGCCATTTATTACGAATGACACCCATGACAAACATTGATGCCATTTATTACGAATGACACCCATGACAAACATTGATGCCATTTATTACGAATGACACCCATGACAAACATTGATGCCATTTATTACGAATGACACCCATGACAAACATTGATGCCATTTATTACGAATGACACCCATGACAAACATTGATGCCATTTATTACGACTGACACCCATGACAAACATTGATGCCATTTATTACGAATGACACCCATGACAAACATTGATGCCATTTATTACGAATGACACCCATGACAAACATTGATGCCATTTATTACGACTGACACCCATGACAAACATTGATGCCATTTATTACGAATGACACCCATGACAAACATTGATGCCATTTATTACGACTGACACCCATGACAAACATTGATGCCATTTATTACGAATGACACCCATGACAAACATTGATGCCATTTATTACGACTGACACCCATTTAACTGTTCGTCAGGTGACCAGTGATGAGTATTCACATACAGCTTTGGTGAGTTTTAAGGACGCCAACGTGTCATTGTGTAAAGTGACAAAAAATGAAGCAGACGTAGCAGGCGTCATTACAGCAACTGTTTTATGTGGCTATCCAAACCACTCTAGTTACATCACCCACACGGAGTTGTTGGATCCTATGTTTTATGGTATGTTATAAAAATATGTAAATTGAGTCTAGCAACGCACACACCATCAATTTAACTATGTTGCAGACAGACACATATACACATGTTCAATTATTAAAAAATCTACTTTAAAATCTAGAAGTAAAGCTGCTAGTTTCATTAAAGCATTGCGCAACGTATATTAAGAATTATTTATTTCAGATTTTGTAAAAATAAAAAAAGACGGGGTCATTAAAATAAAAAAATCAATAGAACAGTTGGACTCTGGCAAACACCAAATAAGCTTTCGAGTCTACTACCGAGTGCTACGTGTTGGTGAATTTTTATCAGAAGTTCAAATTGAGATTCCATCAAACAGTAAATGGGATATCCAAACTACTTTAACCAGCTACACAGATAATGGCTCAATTACACCAGCAACTTCATTGTACAGCATTCAAACACAATCTGCTTCACTGATTACAAATACAAATTTCATTTCATCCTCTACTCCAATTTCATCCACACTCTCCACCATCAATCACAGCACAGAAACAGAATTAATTTCTTCTTCAACTTCAACTACATCCACACTCTCAACCATCAATCACAGCACAGAAACAGAATTAATTTCTTCTTCAACTTCAACTACATCCACACTCTCCACCATCAATCACAGCACAGAAACAGAATTAATTTCTTCTTCAACTTCAACTACATCCACACTCTCCACCATCAATCACAGCACAGAAACAGAATTAATTTCTTCTTCAACTTCAACTACATCCACACTCTCCACCATCAATCACAGCACAGAAACAGAATTAATTTCTTCTTCAACTTCAACTACATCCACACTCTCCACCATCAATCACAGCACAGAAACAGAATTAATTTCTTCTTCAACTTCAACTACATCCACACTCTCCACCATCAATCACAGCACAGAAACAGAATTAATTTCTTCTTCAACTTCAACTACATCCACACTCTCCACCATCAATCACAGCACAGAAACAGAATTAATTTCTTCTTCAACTTCAACTACATCCACACTCTCCACCATCAATCACAGCACAGAAACAGAATTAATTTCTTCTTCAACTTCAACTACATCCACACTCTCCACCATCAATCGCTACACAGAAACAGAATTAATTTCTTCTTCAACTTCAACTACATCCACACTCTCCACCATCAATCACAGCACAGAAACAGAATTAATTTCTTCTTCAACTTCAACTACAACCACACTCTCCACCATCAATCACAGCACAGAAACAGAATTAATTTCTTCTTCAACTTCAACTACATCCACACTCTCCACCATCAATCGCTACACAGAAACAGAATTAATTTCTTCTTCAACTTCAACTACAACCACACTCTCCACCATCAATCACAGCACAGAAACAGAATTAATTTCTTCTTCAACTTCAACTACATCCACACTCTCCACCATCAATCACAGCACAGAAACAGAATTAATTTCTTCTTCAACTTCAACTACAACCACACTCTCCACCATCAATCACAGCACAGAAACAGAATTAATTTCTTCTTCAACTTCAACTACATCCACACTCTCCACCATCAATCGCTACACAGAAACAGAATTAATTTCTTCTTCAACTTCAACTACATCCACACTCTCCACCATCAATCACAGCACAGAAACAGAATTAATTTCTTCTTCAACTTCAACTACAACCACACTCTCCACCATCAATCACAGCACAGAAACAGAATTAATTTCTTCTTCAACTTCAACTACATCCACACTCTCCACCATCAATCACAGCACAGAAACAGAATTAATTTCTTCTTTAACTTCAACTATATCCACACTCTCCACCATCAATAACACCACAGAAACAGATTTAAGTTCATCTTCAACTTCAACTACATCCACTCTCTCCACCATCAATCACAGCGCAGAAACAGATTTAATTTCATCCTCCAATCCAACATCATCCACACTCTCCGCCAATAGTATCTACACAGAAACAAATGTTATAACATCCACAACATACTCACACATCACTACTGATGCTCCCCTTCCCGCAAGGGATATTTTAGGTGAGTTTTTAAATGTTTTTTTGAAATATTTGTCTTGTGAAATTCAGTAAGTGTCTTTTTTGCCAAAAATACTATTGTCGGATCAACTAAATATAGCAGATAAAAATGTTAATTGTAGTGTGAATACACATGCATTGTTGGTTTCTGTACATTTTAAATTGGGGAAATTCATAAGTTTAATACGGAAGGAATAACACGAGAAACGTTGATAACAAAATACTTAAAATTTGAATTATTACTAATCCAAAATTTTCCTGGGATTAAATAAAGGCGAACCAATAAAATTAAGTTTCCCAGTATGTTTTATTTCGTTCAAAACGTATATTTTATCAAGGCACTAGAGTGCATTTACAAGAAATCTTTTATATTTAATGCTTTACATTCTTACAGTTTAAAATTCCTGACGACATTGATTCCCCATAACATTAAAGTTTATCACCGCACGGAGTCTGAAGTAGGACTGAAATGCCATATCTAAACCAATAGTGGTTGAGCCTACAGTCAATCATATCTAATTTATCTAACCATTTTTCTCCATATCAATAGTACATTTTACAATGCACGCACAGATTTACTGTTATACCACAAAATATACACCTGCTGCAATAGAAAAATAGATATTTCTTGCGCAATAAATTGATATATTTGACCGTATTCGCCTAATAATGCTTTGTACGATCCTTTTACAATATATATATATATATATATATATATATATATATATATATATATATATATATATATATATATATATATATATATATATATATATATATATATGCACATATTTTGTTTTAATATCTGGCACATTTTACAGTGAACGAAAAAAAAAAAGTCACAGAAAAAAAGTCACAAAAGACAAATTTTATTTGAAAAAAAAGTCACAGAAATTAAGTCACTGAAAAAAAGTCACAAAAATATTCTAAGAAATATTTTAAATTAATTGTTCATGATTGTAAAGTTTTGGGTGTTTATTAATGTGCGTGGTCATTTTTTGTTAGCTTATTTGTAAACTTTTAAAGCTTTATCGTTTATAACAATAATAAGTTAAAATACTGTTAAAATACTGTAAGATAATGTACAAACAACGTCACCACTTGTTACGTATTTAGTGAAATACACGGTGAAAAATAGGGCTTGTAAGTCACAGTCTCTTTCGATTAAAATTCGAAAATCTTGTTAGCCAGGGAAAAATCTACATTTTCCAACTTAAATAATTGTTAACATGATTCCAATATTTTTAAAAATATTAAATAGGTCCGGCGACCTACTTACAAGCCCTATTATTATAAAATAAATGTAGGCTCATCATTGTGTTTGCACATAAGGCCTTAACTTGGTCGGCTTCTCCTCCGGCGGCTTTGTCCGTCCATTTTGTGTGTTGTTGATTTTTTGGCAGCCTTTGTACCGTGCCGGCTTTCTGTTGTGATCCTATGCTTTGTTATGTAATGAGCGTGATAAAGGTTGTTGAACTATTGTTGCGCTGAGTTGAGGGCAGCAAGTCACATTAACTACGTCTTTATGCCATTGCATGCTAATTTTAAGTTACTATTTAACAAACACGATTGAAACCGATAAAGTTCAAACATTATATTAAATTATATTAAATATTATATGTAAAACAGAATTACAATTTAAACTTGCAAACTTAATACTAAAATCTTTTCTGTGTGTTATAAATATTACCATATGTATACAAACCACGCATATATATCTGAAATGATTGCACTACCTTTAATTAATCGTAAGTTGATTAGCATAATACATAAAAGTATTAACAATTGTCAGCTATTTGTGCCTTTTTCCTGTGACTTTTTTCCTATGACTTTTTTCCTTTTCCTTATTTAATAAATATTTTTCCTACAATCCATTTTACAGGTGCCATTGAGGTAACCATGATTGTTGTAGCTGTCATAGTGACAATAATCGTGATGCTAGCAGGATTTTGCTGGTACGTTTAGAATATTTATTTGCAAAGCTGGTTTTTAAAAATTTCTTTTGTTAGATACTTGAAGATAATTTCATCAATATTTTCGATTTAACAATTAAATTGAGGAACTTTAATTTAGTAAAAATTAAATATATTATTTAGATTTATCTCAATGGTGTTGATAATTGTTCACTCATGATTCTGTGTTGCTCCTTATTCTGCTGATGATTCTATACAGTGGCGTCGCTAGGTCGGGTTTCACCCGGTGCGGTAACTAATGTTGGCACAACCCCTCCCCCGCGAAATTAAAAATCCCTCTCTCTCTCGCTCTCTCTCTCTCCCTCTCTCTCTGTCTTTATATATATATATATATATATATATATATATATATATATATATATATATATATATATATATATATATATATATATACTAGCTGCATACCCGTGCTCCGCCACGGTAAATCTTTTTTAAATGTACCAACTTGGGAACAGAACAAAATTAAACACAACACAAACACGACACAAACTTAACACAAAAAAACACAAACACAAACACAACACAAACACAACATCAGCAAACCGAAAGATAGAATAATAATTAGTAAACAGTACGTTCAGTGTATAAAATAAATAAAAGGCAGTATTTAATATATCCCTGTTTTACATACTGTATAGCGCTTCATCAATTCATGCATTTGTTTTTTAGTACGATAAATTTTAATAATTCACAATAGAGTTCCATGACTTAAACCATTGCGCACCTAATGAACGTGATAACACGCGTATAAAGTTGCGGAATAGTTGATTAAAAATCATCATTAGTAAACAGTACGTTCAGTGAATAAAATAAAATAAGGATAGTCTTTTATCAAACCATGCTAATTATAATATTCCAACAATAATGTTCTCTTACACGTCTACAGAATTAGCATGCAGATTTTGCTAATTATATTACTCCCACAATAATTCCTTCTTGGAGATTTCGCATTCACCTTTTTACTTTCTCGTATATACGTAGTATAGAGAAAGTATTGTAATCGTGCAAAAAAAAATCGAGATTTTTACAAATCTCGACGTTTTACACCTCACTGATACGGAAAAATATAATTTTGTAATCTTGTCCGTATGTCTGTGTGTGTGTCTGTGTGTCTGTGTGTCCGTGTGTAAACACGATAACTTGAGTACCGTTACTGCTAGGTTGATGAAATTTCATATATAAGTATTTTATCAAAATCGTAGATCCGTATCAACTTTTGAGCGATTTCCGATAACCGGAAGTGGTACTTTTTCTACTTTGAATTTTTCAAAAGTCAAATTTTGAGTAATTTCCGTTGACCGGAAGTAGTAATTTACGCTATTTCCGATTTCTCAAAAAACTAATGTAAATTTTAAAAGTACTAATAATATTGCGCACTATTATGCGCTTTTTTATTTCGCGTTCACTTGGTGTGCAATTAATTTGTCTACGAGATTTTATTCTATTTTTAAAACTTTAAGTATTTAAAATGGATTAAAAATCATGTCTATAGCCCGAGTTCCCATCCCCTGTTATTTTATATAAAAATATTCGAGAAAGTTTAGGGGAGATCACTCCCGGTTTATTTTTATTAGCGTGAGTTGAATTTATTTTTAAATAACCTCCCTTGGAAAAATTCCGAAACAGCTTAATTAAAAAAACAACATGTGGAGTGTTTACTTTTAGGGATAAAAAATCGATAGTGATGATGGAAGGATGGAAGGACTGACACACTAACAGCCCGCTTATATTATATATATATATATATATATATATATATATATATATATATATATATATATACATAAATACACACACATTACTATACACCCTAAACCCCAGGCGTCGACTGACTTGTCAGTTATTAGAATTCTAATTTTTTAATGTTTGGTTGGTTTTACAACTCCCCTCTCCCACAGTTGCATGTAGTATATTTTCTATGTAGTTAGCAGGTTTACGTCAGGATTTCACCCCATCTTTGTCAGGATTGGTCAATTTTACTCTTAATTAAAAGGACTTTTGAACTCTAATTAATCATTTATTTAAGTTGAATATTTTTTTCTAAATATATTGTGCTATTTTTACCTTGGTGTCACCCCCCCCCCCCCCAAATATTGTCTATAAGTAGTTTTAACCCTATTCTATAAGAATATCATCTATCTAGTTGTTGCAAGAAAGGCCTACGTTTGGGACGAGCAGATCCTTCAGACAGCCCTTCCAATGCAAGAGAGAGAAGTAGGCTCTATTCGTAAAATGGAAAAAACTACGTTTTGAACCAGCAGAATTCAGATTGGTGTATTAATGTTTGAGGTGGTGTTTTGAGGTATTTTACCGACAAAATCCATTTATTATCCTGATTATGTTATGCTTTTATTTTTTAAAATAAGAATTTAAACATAATTTCACTCTTTATGCATCAAGGAAAAAACTTTGAATTATGTTGTTGAACATTTTACTAGGTTTTAACTTTTATTTGATAAAACTGTTTCACTAAAGGTTTCTCTACACATATTGGATTTTACTTGTGTCGTCACTAGAAAAATCAGAGTCGATATACTTTTAACTGTTCATATAGAGGTTTACACACTGAGGACATTCATTAGTTCATAAAACCACGCTGTCCATTTTCATTTAATTTAAAACATCAAACTTATTTTATTGATAGAAAGCATATTGTGTATAAATCTTTTAAATATATTAATGACATTATTTTTAACTATGAAGACAGTAAATAATAATACAAATGTAGATACTTTATAAAACAATGGATCCATTTTTTTTAAATTTTTAAACACAAACACATTCATCAAAAACACTTGTATTAAAATAATAAACCACCCAAATATATAAGTTTGTTACCTGCAATCATATCTATTTTTATTGACAATTGATTAAGTATTGAATTTACAATTCACTATTTTTCTAGCATTTTATATGGATCAAAATACTTTTTTTAGTTGTAAATTTAAAATGATTTTTTTGCTAAGCTTTACAAGTTAAATACTGTTACTACATTATACATATGCAGTATTGGATTTTAAATATATTTGATATTAAATTCAAACAATAAAAACAACAAATTTTCAAAAAACAATTAAAATAGTGATGTTAATACGTATTGTTAATATATTTACAGCTTAATGGCATCTACTTCTTAGATGAGAATAGCCGTAGGAGAAACCAAAGGACCATAGAAATTTAAAAAAAAAACTAACGAAATTATATTTAATTGGGAAATATTGAAGAATGCGAGAAAGAAGAGCCAAGAGAGTTATCCACTTCTAAAGCTCTACTTAATGTAAATTATCACCTCCTTAAAAAATTATTCAGGGGATACTATCTTTAAAGAAAATAATTAAGCCTACTTTTAAATGTGTACAACTTCTAGTATTGGCTTGCAATAAAAATGATTATAATAAAAATGTATTTGTTAACATAAAACAAATCATCGGCATCAATGGATGGGAAGTCTGATTTAAAACTAGTTGATCACAGATTGTGTCAAGCTAAAATTATTTTAATTTGGATTGTTTTCAAACATTCAAGTCCGCTGTTTCCCTCAGAGCTTTACTAGAACCTGGTTGCAGAAAGTAGGACAGCAAACACAACGCCCGTCTGAACAAGGGTTGATTCTGTAAACAATAGAGCAAGAAACATGACGATACTATAGTTGGGTTGTTTTTTTTTATCAAATTATTGTAACTTTAAAGATCTAAACAGAGTTTTATTTCTTTACTAATAGGTTTCAATTTTAAAGTACATAATCAAACAATTCAATTCAACGCATATATTTTTGTTTCTTAAATGCTGTCATAGTTTTTGTGTTTTTCCGTAGTTGGCACTTCGTGTGTTGGGAAAGTTGTACCAAACATTATCTTTACTTTCTAAAGTTTTTTTAATGTAACACACATTAAGTATCATCGAGAAAGAGAAAAATTATGACAATATTTGACGACATTTCATATATTAGATTTAGCTTTTGCAGAATTATTTCAACTTTTTGAGCAATTTCCGGTCACCGGAGGGAGTACGTTACTCTAGTTCCGATTTCTCTAAAACCTTCAGAGAATTTTATATCAAAATTTTATAAAGCAAATTCTAAGATCGTTTATCCTCTATACATTTTCTAAAAAAATCGAGCGCAGTTTTGCTACAAACTTCAACAGTTCTATAGTTTGATTCCATTTGTTACAGCTAAGTTTTAAGAATCGGCCAATGAGCGAAGTGGCCGGTCAGTTCACTCGTTAGTTAATACCACCTTTAATCGACCAGCCAGATAGGTGGTCAAGTCGGTAAAGCTCATGGTTGCTAAACCGAAAAGTCCCTCGGACAGATGAGGCTCGTTAGCTGGGGACAGCCACTCTTCTAGGAGAGACAACTCAAAAATCTAACAACTTCTGCCTTGTAGTTTTTTCTTGGTTGGACAAAGGCTATGGAAGCAAATCCAATAAGAAAAGTAGGCTGAAATCGGAGTCAATGGCCTCAATGGCCCATAACCAGTTGACACGCTTCATTAATTGTGTTTGGATGGGATCCCTTCCAACAATAAAATTTAGAACGAAGAAAAAGAAAAAGCATATATAATAGGAAAATCTTAGGAATTTATGATTCTATTTATTAAAAAAAAAATTGATGCCGCATTTATTTTTGTGTGTTGGGAAATTAAGGCGGCTGTGCATAGCGCTGATCTCACTTTCTTTTTATATATGTCGAGGTCAAGAAACATACGGTAGGTCTAAATAGACAGATTTATTCTTTAACTTAACAGGGACAAGCATAGCTTTTCTTGTATATTTTGCAATTATTCGTTCGGTTCAAATTCGCCTTCACGTTTTGACGTACAAAAAAAAAAACATACATAAGATAAACCATGTTTAGTAAATACTCCAGAATCAACAAAATAATACCTGCTTGCATTCGATGGTATCCTGCACTTGATGGCTGTGGACTTAGAGGATTCCAGTTTTCTGTTAAGACAAACAATTTTTAAGGCTTGTTTGATTGCTATTCATTTAATATATAAACAGCGTATTAAGTGATGACCTACACAAAAGCATTTACTATATGTGACAGTGAGTTGAATTGGGCGAATTAATTAATTGAATAGATGTTTCAACGTTGCACAATACACGATTTTTTAACATAAAAATAAAACAAATTGTGAAATGTTTAGCTTGGTTAGGTTAGTGAGGTTTGGTTTGGGTTATTTTGGTTTGGTTGGATTGGTTGGACTGGGTTGGGTTAACACGATAATTGGAACCTCTTTTTACTTTCTCGTATATACGAAGTATAGAGAAAGTCTTGTAATACGGAAAAACATAATTTTGCAATCTTGCCCGTATGTCTGTGTGTGTGTGTCTGTCTGTCTGTGTGTAAACACGGTAACTTGAGTACCGTTACAGCTAGGTTGATGAAATTTCATATATAAGTATTTTATCAAAATCGTAGATCCTGATCAACTTTTGAGCGATTTCCGATAACCGGAAGTGGTACTTTTTCTACTTTGAATTTTTCAAAAGCCTATAACTTGCGTACTACTTCAGATAGATAAATGAAATTTCACATGTAAGTAAAAAGCAATTCTCTACCTTTTGTCAAATTTTGAGTAATTTCCGTTGGCCGGAAGTACTAATTTACGCTATTTTCGATTTCTCAAAAAACGCATGTAAATTTATAAAGTACTAATAATATCCAGCACTTTTATGCACATTTTATTAGGCGTTCACTTGGTGTGCAATTCCTTTTTTTTACGAGATTCTATTCTATTATAAAAAGTTTAAGTAATTAAAAAAAAACTCATAAGGAAAAGCGTGGGCCACTTTAGTATTTATTGGATATCTTTACTAATATTTAGGAAGAGACCCACGCTTTTCTTTATAGTTATTTAAATAGTAGTCTATAATTTATTTTCTACTTTTTAGTGCATTAATACATAAAAGCTTGATATTAAAACGTTTTTTATGAATTTTTTTTAGTACATTACATGTTTTTATTTACAATAGAGTTTCATGACTAAAAACCATTGCGCACCTACTGAACGTGATGGCGCAGCTATTGAACGTGATGACGCGTGTGGCGTGGTTGGATAGACATGCCTACTAATTCGGTCCAAATTTTAATTAATTCAAAAAACATTAAGTAGGCATCCAATAAAGTCAAATTTAATTTCAGATTGCATTGTCTTCATGTCTTGACCCACGTGCCAACTGTGAATCGTATCGGTCAAGTAGAAGTGTCCGAATTTTCACTCCGGCGTTTCGATCTAGACTGACGACAGACAGAGAAAGTGAGTTAAATAAAAGCTTGTAAAAATGGATTACAAATATTGTCTATGTCCTGAGTTGCCATCCCTCGTAGTTTTATATTAGAATATTCGAGAAAGTTTAGGGGAGATCAATTCCGGTTTATTTATTTCTGTTGTCGGATTTCATAAATAAGTATTATATTGAAAAGTTGTGGGAAAACCACAAGTATTATATCGAACTTGTACTTTTCCATCAATTTTTAAGCTATTTCCGGCTCCTTTTTTTAGGTGGACGGGATTTTATATATACATACAGAATTTTATTTACTGGTTTCTGTAAAATGTAACGTGATTTTCAATGACTGTAAGCAGTAGTTTACGCTGTTTCCGATTTCTCAAAAATATATTATTTAACTTGATTCAACTGTCTATCGTCAGTCATTTGCTAAAACGTGCGAGAAAAATTGTGACCACTAATACGGAACCGATTTACTTCAAACTTCTCACGTAGTTAAGACTCGATATAAATTCACTGTAACAAGAATAATATTTAATTTGATTTTGAAATTATTTTTTTTTTTTTAAATAAAAAAACATTCCTATAGCCCGATTACACTGAAAGTGCCCTCCCCATTACTGTTAAATAAGAATATATTTGACATTTTAAAAGAGATCAATACCGCTTTATTTGAGAAATAACTTACCTGGTTCAATTTGACGGTTAAAGGTGTTGCTCTGTGCGATTAATGTATTATTACCGTATAGAAATTTTAATCGAAACCATCTCGAATGAATACTTCTCATCCGATTAAGTGCAAACCGGTATGGTGGTCCTTTATAACATGAGCATGGATTTTCTAAAAAGCCTGTACTAGACGAAAAACAATGCTCTGCTCTTGGACATACAGTCCACACATTGCAGAACTGAAATAGCATTCATTAAAAATATTAATTTCGCACGCAATTTTGTAGGTCAGCCAAAAAAAAGGTCTGTTTTTTTCCGGAACAATATACTCCAATATAATTTTAAACGGTATTGTTTACGTTTTCGTCAACATTAATGCACATGATTGTTAGGTTCTGAGGCAGGGTCAGGGTCGGAGTCAGGGTCACGGGTCACGGGTTACAGTCACGGTCATGGTCATGGTCATAGTCAGGGTCATGGTCAGTGTCATGGTCATGGTCATGGGTAAGGTCATGGACGTTCTCAAACTAAGCTCGTATTTAGCGTCATTACAACTATGAGATTAATGCCAACTTACATAATACCACAAGTCTTCGTCTTCACATACTTTAAGATCTTTTTGATAGCACTGAAAAGCAGTTAAGTATACACAATGCTCTATTTTGACATGTGGTTGTGAACGTTTGAAAGGTGCCCAAAAGTATCCGTACATCCGACCAGTGTACGCGCAGTACGTGTTGACACAGTCACGTTCGTAACCAATTATTAGCGCCCCGAATGATCTATTTTGGCACTCACCATCTGTTGAAAAAAAACAAAAAACAAAAAACTACTGGTATATCAAGACAAGTTTATTTTTGTTTTAGAAGTTTCTTCTTACAGATAATTTAATAAGCATATTGAAAAATAAAACATACGAGCAATTTTTTGCTTTGATTTACGAGAAAAGTTACACGAGTAACCAGATTCACGGGTTTTATAGTTCATGGCAAATAACACCCGACAAGCTTGCAACTTGCTTGGCAGCAATTTAGTTACTTAGTCTAACTCTTTTCAGCAATATTCTAAACAGAAGGAAGAAACAAACTACCGTAACAGATTTTTTTTCTTCTTCTTTGTTCTTAATTTCGTAATTTTAATTAAGTATAAGTTTCACTGGTATACTGGTTATGCGCCATTAAGGCCATTAGCTCCGATTTCAGCCTGCTTTTCTTTTTGGATTTGCTAACATAGCTTATTTCCAACCAAGAACAAACTATAAGGCAGCAATTGTTTTATTTTGGAGTTGTCTGTCCCCCAACTAACGAGCCTCATCTGCCCGAGGGTTCGAACTCGAGACTTTTCGGTTTAGCAACCATGAGCTTAACCGACTCGCCACATCTCAGATTTTTTAAACTGCCTATATATGAAAATGAGTAAAGCGTGCGAAAAAGCCAAAGGCTAGTAAAGAGAAAACCAGTCATGAAAATTGCATTATCTTTTAATTTATTTTGTATCCACAATTTGTGATTGATTGTCACCCCATATATCTTTGGTTTAAACACATCGGTTGTTCATGAATACATGACACTGGACTCTAGTTTGTGTAACTTGATAACTTTATTTACATGAGAAGAATATCTATAGATGAACAGAGTATCTCCATCACATACGCATACACATAAAGTATATCAGGACCAAGTGTGGTCAAGTGTTAAAGTTCAAAATACATTTGAGGACACGATTAAAATTCACACGGTTCTCGGACATAATCACGTGCTGCAGTCTTCTTTGATATTGTGGCCACTGACCACCTTAATTTACACAGCTTGTAAAGCCTACATTCACTCACTCCAGTCAGTGAACGATATAAAAAAAAAACAATGAAATGCAATGATTGATCGCTCACGCATTCACTACCTTTGGCCAGGTATTCGGCTGTCATACATAATTCACAACAATACAGCCTGTTACATATATGAACGCATATTTCTTATTTAAAATACGTAACAAAAACAGCTGTGATAGCAATAATGGGGTATGCTGGAACGGTTTCATGATACTTCATATAATTTCAAGGGAAAAGACTGCTTTGATATACGAACAATTTGACATACGAGCAATGTTACGTAACGAATTAATCTCGTATCTCGAGGTACCACTGTATTATCTGTAAATAAATTTACAGTACTCCTCATATAAAGGAGTGTAGACCAGTATGTAAAAGACACGGTAATTAATCAAGGAGAAATCGCACATACTTCAGCAAGAAAAGGCTTAAGAAAATTCCTGTAATAAAGAGACTCGCAAGGTAGAAAGATCAAATAGGGCTCAAGAAAATTCCTGTAATAAAGAGACTTACAAGGTAGAAAGATCAAACAAATCAACAGCAGCAGCTTCATTTCCCGGTACTTGGATGCTTCATTAAGCTTTTAGTTCCTGTAGCCTGACATCAGTACGTCATATATACAGTTGGGGGGTGGGGACTACAGAGCGGTCACTATCTAGGTGAGAGTGACGTCATTTGATGAGGACGAAAGTTTAAGGCTGATGAACAAGTGCAAAAAGGTTGGGTTAACGTACCTAGATCTAGTAGCTTCACTGAACGAATAACATAGCTGGAAATTCAAGCGACATCTTTTGATTTGACGTATTTATGGACACAGATCTGGCAACTACACATACTTTGTCCATACTGACACAACTTACTTTGTTCATACGGACACAACATACTTTGTTCATACGGACACAACATACTTTGTTCATACGGACACAACATACTTTGTTCATACGGACACAACATACTTTGTTCATACGGACACAACTTAACATACTTTGTTCATACGGACACAACTTAACATATTTTGTTCATACGGACACAACTTAACATACTTTGTTCATACGGACACAACATACTTTGTTCATACGGACACAACATACTTTGTCCATACTGACACAACATACTTTGTTCATACGGACACAACATACTTTGTTCATACGGACACAACATACTTTGTTCATACGGACACAACATACTTTGTTCATACGGACACAACATACTTTGTTCATACGGACACAACTTAACATACTTTGTTCATACGGACACAACATACTTTGTTCATACGGACACAACATATTTTGTTCATACGGACACAACTTAACATACTTTGTTCATACGGACACAACTTAACATACTGTGTTCATACGGACACAACATACTTTGTTCATACGGACACAACTTAACATACTGTGTTCATATGGACACAACTTAACATACTTTGTTCATAGCATGGATCTAGATTTTGATTTCTACATGTGAACGAAATAAATATGTTTATCTATGTCTAGATCTACGTCTAGTCAATGCTGAAGCTCATATTAATGCCATAGTTTTAAATCTAGTTATACTGAAAGTAGTGGACACATAAATTTAAATAAAATTGTGTTCGTATAAGAATGTCAACATAAACTACCTGTTTCCGTATAGCTGTGTATAGAAAAAACAGTGTGTTGAAGAACGCCTCACACCTTTCTCGAAATCAAATAGAAAGGTCCTGAAATCAAAATTCTACAATTTTGTTGGGTGTTAAATATTTCGGGAATTCTCATTAGCAAATTGGCGCGCACTTTTAGCTTTGTATATTGTAAACAACAGTTCCTATTCCTACATTAGAGAGCTTGGCTGTTATGGGATACAGTCTCACACATTGTCAACAACAGGTCCCAATACATTTGAAAGCTTGTCGGTTATGCGATACACCCTGACATATTATAAACAGTAGGTCCAATACTTTAGAGAGCTCAGCTGTTATGGGATAAAGTCTCACATATTATAAACAGTAGGTCCAATACTTTAGAGAGCTCAGCTGTTATGGGATAAAGTCTCACATATTGTAAACAGTAGGTCCAATACTTTAGAGAGCTCAGCTGTTATGGGATAAAGTCTCACATATTGTAAACAGTAGTACCCAGCACATTAACAACTCTTCTTTAACAGGATACATGGCCGTGGGCTAGGATGCTGAGAGACGGCACATAAGTAAAGAAACAAAAAGAATCATCTTAACACCTAGCAAACCATACTGCAGAAAAAGTGTTATTCATTTCAAACACAACACATACTCAACGTCATTTAGCTTCTCAGATACAATACACACAATTTCGTACTCCAAAACAAGATCGTTATTTACAACAGTGACAACAGACAAAAATCAAATCTTACCTACCACACACACCGTATCTACATTCCCCATAAATGGCATCACGACAGACACAAATATAATCTCTTTTTCATCAAGCTCCTTAACTTTTCCTTTTAATGTTTTGTAAAGTTTTCGTTGGTAAAGAAAATTGAAGACACTTTTTGTCCCAAATGTTTAACATTGAAGTTTTAATATACAACTGATGTAGAAAAAATAAAAGCTTTTAAATAAACTTAAATAAATGGTGGGGACCACTTAAATTTAAAAAAAAACCTTATTTATAAAAGAATGTTTACATTCTTTTGTGGACCTATAAAAATAGAAATCACATCATCAGAAATGTGAAACATATTTACAAAAGATTAATTATTCATATTTATTTATTTCTGTTTATGTTCTATGGACCTTCTAATGTGATCATGCATTTACTTTTATAAATATTGCATTGGAGTGTCTGGAAAATTGATGCAAAAAAAAAATCCTAGTTAGAGACACAATATGCATTTAACACGTGAAATAAAAGAATCTTTAAAAAAAAAAAAAAAGTAACTAGAAAGTGAATATTTTCAAAAATCAGAGTCGATATACTTTTAACTGTTCATATAGAGGTTTACACACTGAGGACATTCATTAGTTCATAAAACCACGCTGTCCATTTTCATTTAATTTCAAAAATCAAACTTATTTTATTGATAGAAATCATATTGTGTATATATCTTTTAAATATATTAATGACATTATTTTTAACTAAGAAGACAATAAATAATAATACAAATGTAGATACTTTATAAAACAATGGATCAATTTTTTTTTAAATTTCAAACACAAACACATTCATCAAAAACACATTTATTAAAATAATAAACCCAAATATATAAGTTTGTTACCTGCAATCATATCTATTTTTATTGACAATTAATTAAGTATTAAATTTACAATTCACTATTTTTCTAGCATTTTATATGGATCAAAATACTTTTTTTAGTTGTAAATTTAAAATGATTACTTTGCTAAGCTTTACAAGTTAAATACTATTACTA